CTGCTCAATTAATCGTATTTTAATCGCGATTACGATTATGGGCTTGCAACGATTACGAAAACAACGTAATCGAAATAAAAGGATTTATTTTTTTTATTTTTATTTTTATACTATTTATTTTTTTGGTTTTTCAGTTGGAATTATTCTTAAAGTTCAGGATAATCACACTGTAAAAACATCGCTGTTCCACATTTTTTTTCTCCAATAAATGGATGTTTTCAAAGTCAATGAATAATCGCATTTAATAATCGCAATTATAATTTATTGACCCAAATAATCTAGATTATGATTTTTGCATAATCGAGCAGCCCTACTCTATGAACACACTACCAACCAGAAAGAAGCAGAGTCAGGGCCTCTTTAAAACGTTAATTTTTGAGACATCGCACAAAAAAGGAAGCATTTTCATTCACCGTTCTTCTTCAATTAGGTGCCATGGAGTTCTAATGTTCTCTAGCTTCCTGGATTGAATTGTCCTCTTTGTGGTTTTGTATTTATAATGAATGTTAAACAACGCCTAATCTCAGGACACAGACATGCTGTCGCTGCATGAATACTAAAGCGAGCATGAAAGAGAAAAGTCTCCTCTGTGGGGGAGAAGACAGACGGGACAAAAATACACTGAAGGTGGTTAGAAGTAAAGGGCTTTTATGTCACAAATATTTGTTCTGCTATTAATGCTTTGCTTTGAGGCTTGGTAGGAACAGATAGATTGCAGTCGAAAAGGCGCGTTGTAATAATCAGGTTACCAGGGCGAACACACGACAGTTACACATAGTTAGGGGATTACAATGCTTTTTCAAACTTTGGTAGTGCACTGATATAAGAAGTGGCACCCTCCCAATCCTGGCTTTAAGATAATGAACCTGAAGTTATTGAAGGTGATAGCAATCAAGTTGTTTATTTTAAATCGGGGTTAAATCGCTGGAAACTTTTCATTTGATATCAGGTGTTTTATGTTGAGAGACTGATATCGCTAAACTGATATCTGTTTAGGCGTATCTAACGTTTATGGCAAGACAAGACATCTTCAAACACAAGGGCTTTTACACAATAATGAAAAGCATTGAAGATATACTGTAGTGCAGCAGTAACACTTTATACAATGGGAATTGAATGGAGGAATAAAATCAACATTAAACCAGCTCAAATAGACAGGGTTTAAATTACAAAAAAAACAAAACAAAATGTCCAATCTGAGCTCTTTGAAAGGAATTAAGGAATGCAGACACGGACACGTTAGAGAATCTTTTCAATGCGCCGTCATTCAGCCAGAAATTGAAGACTTTCAATCCCCCAAACTTGTCTAAGGCCCGACCACACCAAGCCGATTTTGGCCGTCGTGGATGCAGGCCGACGATGAGCGGTCTGTCGCCCTACTCAGGTTGGTGTGTCCCGCACGCGTCGTGCTTTCGGCCGACCCTTTTTTGGCCGAAAAGCTTCCGATTCTACTAGTGGAACCCTGTTTTTTGTTTTTTATGGCGTGTACAGCACTTTGTTTCAGCTCCGCTGTTTTGAAAAGGCTTAATAAATAAAGTGAATTGGTTGAGTTGAACATTTGCGGTGTGTTCCAGTGCGACTTGGGTTGGCCAAGACGCGAGCAGTCGGGTCCGTCTGTGTGAGTTCTTTGGTGGTCATTGCGTCCCCTACCTTAAAAACTCTGCTCTCTCTTCCAGATGGACCATGGACCCCCGAACCCGGTTACATCTCCTCCCAAGGCCTCTTCGCCCACCGTGGACCGACTTCTGAGGTAACACATCTCTACCACTGTCCTTTCATGTTATTCATATTAGCTTATCATCCACTAATGAGCCATCAGCTGTTACTGTTCATGCTTCTCAGAACAATAATAAACATGGAGGTATAAAGAAAGCCAGAGCTCTGGAGGTGTGGAGATTGCCAGTGGCTTGCACAAGGAACTCTCCAACAAAACTATATATATGTTTTTTAATCTGTATTTTTTGTTATTATTTTATAAAAACAATTCAATAATTTAATTTATTTTTATGTGTTTTCGTATTTTATAATATTTTTAAATATAAATGTATTGTAAATTTTTAAAGTTTTATTTACATCCTATTTCCTTCATTTTGCGGGACTGTTTACGTCATAAAAAAACACGTTCTTACACTAGCTGGAAGATGCTAATACACCCTATCGATCCACTACCTTCTTATATTTAACATCCAATACTATATTTTAAATACTAAAACAATTGACTCTGTTGACGCGGAGTTAATCTGACATTTTTGGGTATTTCTTTTGTTTTCACTGAATATTTTACGGAAAATGCAGTATTTTTTTCCTTTCTCCAGTCAAAGGGATTTGAACTACTTACATCCAAACCCCTTACCAGACTAAATGGGTAAATAAACCTCCGCAAATATCCAAGTTCTGGCCCATTGACCATTTCACCTCCAATCGTTAGTTTCAAGGCCCATCTACCTCAATGGAATGGAGGAGGTTGAAACAACTCTGGATTTGACCAACGTTTACGACCTCAGATTCAAATTAATCCCCTTCGTTTTCTTACAAATAATCCATTCTTCTGATTTACACTCGTCTCTTTCCTCGATGTAAGTCAATGGGAAAGGAGTCTATTTTGGGACACACAAGAAGTTGTATCAGTACCACCGTTTTGTTCCACTACGCACATTTGTGAAAAGACAAAATACATTGTATTTCTTGGAGCTGATAATGTGCATCATTTTAATGCATCAAAGTGGTGCTTTCTGCCTGAGAAGGTATGACGTCTCATCACACACACCTCTAATGAAGTCGGACTTATATTCATAAATAATGCCTAATTTTTTGCCCATATTTACCCCCCCCCCCCCACCCCTTGATCCATAAATGTCACAGGACCAGCCGTTGAATCATTGCTATCGCGGTTGTAAAACATTCGTTTCGTGAGCTTCGCTTAAATGATGCATGGTCTGCAATGGCGTTTTCACGTGTTAATAGGACCGCGCATGTGTGGTAATTGTAGAGGGTCTTTGGCTCCTATGGGACTTACTGAATGTCTTATTATATCAAACATGATGACGTTTGGGAACAAGGGAAATGCCCATATCTGCCTTTCAAGAAATAAATCCGTTTTTTTATTCATTTCTTTGGTTTTTCTCCGCTGAAAAGGAACAAAGACTCACATCAACTTTAAGTTTAATAACTCAACAGATTAGCTTCCTAATGCTCGATAAAAACTACTTTGGTCCACACGTATTGGTAAGGCAAACGAGAGACAGGAATGATTTTATTGATCAGACACCGAATTTATATTGCATTGAAGATGTTTAACTTTGAAAATCCATGTATCTCAATGATTTTAACTTGAATTTCTGCGGATCTGAATTTGACATTCGAATTATTTTAACTTGAATTGTTATTTCTGAATTTGTGAACACGGAAACAAATACATTGAAATTTCAGCTATTTGAAATTACGTATCAAGAGATTATTTCAGATTTTTATTTCACAAAAATTCAGATACATTGATTTTCAAAGTAAACATTTTCAAATGGCTATAAATTCGGATGTCTGATCCAAATTCAACATAATGTCTGTCTGTTGTTTGCTTCCATAGGGTTAGAGCAGGGGGTGTCAAAACTCAGGCCCGGGGGCCAAATCCGGCCCAGCGACTTTCATTTCTGT